GTTGCGAGCAACCAACCAACTCGGAGGCTTGGGACCTTCTTCTTTCACAAAAGTCGGGAACCTCCGCTTCTGAAAACACCACCTATCAGGACATTAAAACTAGACCTTCGCCTCTTCGGGCTAATGCCACATCTTCCGTGCTAGGAATCTTACTCAAACACGCTCTCATCGCGCTCACGCACACACATCTGGATAAGGTGGATGTCGAGGAAAGAACCAAAAGTAGGTGTGGCAAGGGCGAGACACATAGGATTTGAGTTCTAGTGGAACTCAAACAATTTCTTGATCTAAATCACTAGGTTAGCAGATCATCGTTAATCACAAATCAAATGCTCCTAACCTCTTTTTTCCTCGTCTCGAATATTCTTTTCCTTGCTGCGTTGGCTGCCGTTTGGGGGTGCGGCAGCGTTGCTGGCATGGGACGGTAATGCACTCTGGTACTGAATTCTCTCAGCCTGAAGCAAGCATCCTCTTTGACTGTGCGCACACCTAATAGTTGTTCGTTTGCATGACCGAGGCGGGGCTCCGGGTCGATACCATTGCGGCATGCATTAGAAGGGGTTTGGGGGTTTGAGGAGTGCTGTGGGTTATATTAGGCCCTCCCTCCCTCTGAGCAGAGAGGGTACCTCCTCAAGGTTTCGCCTTAGAAGGCCCTCCCAGTAGAGGAACCCATCACTCCTCAATCTCACTTTCCTCAATCTCACTTTCCCTCTAAAAGAAAGGTTCTGACGATGCAGACTTTTTTTCTCTCTGCCCTTTTGGGCGTTTTCGCTTCATCTGGTGCTGCACAAACCTCGGACCAATATCCGGATGCCACGGGAGCTATCGCCTCTCACTCTAATTGCCGCTGTTTTCCAGGGGACCCTTGCTGGCCGTCAACACAGAAATGGGGCGAATTGAACGCCACAGTCTCTGGAAAATTGATCGCTACAGTTCCCCTCGGCACCCCTTGCCATGCACCCGATTACGATGCATCCAGATGCCAGTATATCAAGGAAAATTGGCACTCTCCTGAACTCCAGTATGTGGACCCCCCCCCATCTCTGTCCCGAGAACCCCCAATGGGTAGAGTCAAGTTACTAATCGATCATTGCAGCGACGAATCCTCGAGTTCAGTTATGGCGCCATTCTACGCTAATAGGAGCTGCGATCCTTTCATGCCCGTTGACAGTCCTTGTCAGATTGGTGCTTATGTTCGCTATGCCATCAATGTCACTGAGCCGGCGGATATTATTGCGGGTATTGAATTTGCCAAGAAGAATAATGTTCGCCTGGTCATCCGCAATACGGGTCATGAGTAAGCGTGACTTTTCTGTCTAGTTAGTTAATTGGATACGAGCTAATTGCGTTGTTTCATGTAGCTTTATAGGTAAATCCTCTGGGCCTGGATCACTGTCTCTTTGGACCCACCACCTTAAGGATATCGAATACATCCCTGAATACAAATCGGAGGCCTATCATGGGCCAGCGCTCAAGGTTGGCGCCGGAGTCCAGGGTATCGAGGCGTTTACCGCTGCGGACAAGAACGGTGTCGTTGTTCTCGGGGGCGTGTGCCCTTCTGTCGGTATTGCCGGTGGATACACGCAGGGTGGTGGCGTTTCAATATTGGCGGGCAAGTATGGTCTCGCGGCTGATCAGACCCTTGAGTTTGAGGTTGTGACTGGAGAGGGCAAACATGTCAATGCAAGCAAGACCGAGAATACGGACTTGTATTGGGCCCTCAGCGGTGGTGGAGGAGGTACATATGGTGTTGTCACCTCCATGACTGTCAAGGCGCACAAAGATGCTCCTATGACCGTCGCACGTTATTCCTTCGGAACTAGCACTGCCGGTGCCTCTATGGATAACTACTACGACGCTTTCGACTTTCTCCACCACATGGCCCCCGGGTACTTTGACCGCGGTGGCTACAGCTTCAATATCTACTCTAAGGGATCCCCCTCTCTTGGCTATTTCTTCGGCCCCGAGTGGACCGAGGAAGATACAGCTGCCTTTTTCCAACCATGGGTTGAGAGACTTGAGTCTCTTGGTTTGAAATACTCTCTCAACATCACCGAGTACCCCAGCTATCTCACTGGCTATAACTCCATCAACAATATGGTAGACGTAGGAGCCTCACAGTCTGGCGGTCGTATAATCCCGAAAGACATTATCCTCAACAAGCGCGCTCAATACATTCAAGTTATCAAGACTGTCATTGAAGACGGAGCCTCCTTGCTCGAGGTCGTGGCTCACCCTACCTTGGAGGTTGCCGGGAATCCAGATAATTCCGTTCTCCCTGCTTGGCGTGATAGTGCAATTTTCCTTATTACCATGACGTTAGTATTTCATTTTCTTTTCATTTTGATTTTTTTCTAAAAAAGAAAGAAACATCTAGAAACTAACATGGACTTTCTAGCCCATGGAACGACACCGCAGAATGGTCTCAGACCCTCGAAGGTCAGAAGACTATCACCAAGTGGGGGGGGCTGTTGCGCGAGTTGGCTCCCGAATCCGGCGCCTATATGAACGAAGCCGATGCCAACGAGCCCAACTTCCAACGCGAGTTCTACGGAGAAAACTATGCCGAACTCCTCTGCATCAAGAACAGGTACGATCCTGATGATATCTTCTATGCCCTTACGGCAGTGGGAAGTGATGCTTGGACTCAGAGCCCCGATGGAAGACTCTGTAAAACCAATCCATAGAATAATTCCCTTACTGGAGCCTCCTTTTCTTTCCGCGTGTTAAAAATGTGGGGACCATCTCTTGCCCAATCTGCAACTTCGTAGACCAATAAAATCACACTACTCTTTGCACTGTAGCCCAGCGTAATGACGGTGATGAGGTGTTTAAAGAATTTTGAGTGAAATATGGAAAAACGTGAATTGATCCTTCAGTCTACGCTTACAAAAAAAAAAGAGGAAGGGGATATGGGTTTATGGTTTCAATAATTTGTATCAGGACGTTGTGATATTAGCAGTCCGACTTAACCAGTGTTCCCAACCGTCCCGGGCAGGGTGGGTAAGGACGGCAGGACCCGACGCCCCTCTTTGACAAAGACTACCGTCCGAGGGGTTGACCCCCGGGCCCGAGAGTCTTAATACAAATAGAATCTTCCGGCGGTCATCTGTAACCGTCATTCGCAGGGCCCAGTCGGCCGTCCCGGGTAGAGGTTAGGACGGACCACAGGACGGGCGTCCGTGCAGGGCAGAGTTCCAGAAATCGGCGTCCGTCCCGTCCGAAGTCAAGGACGGACGCTTGGGAACACTGGACTTGACCTAGTATTAGAATGCCAATAACATACTTGCGCTGCCGGGTTGAAGTCGCACACACCCATACAGAGTGCCGGCACTGGGATGGTAGCATAATAGTTTAGGGTACGTCTGGCTGTCCGCGGGTTCAAAAAAATTTGCTAAACCGCACGCCACTGCGAAAACTGTCCTCCCAGCCCCAGCTAGTGGCAGTAAATCAAAAAAGTGCCAGACCATACGAACAGAGGCAACTCCACCGTTCTGACAACGGAGTTCAATCACTCAAGCTCTTGCGGCATGTGTTCACTTCCGGAATCTGGTGGTGAGCTCGCGATGTGATCCGTGAGTACTAGCAGACCGTCCTTGAAACCCGATTCTCAACCATTTTCCCAAACCCGCAGTCCCTTCATCTTCCCTCTCGACCCTTTGCCTTACAAACTTTCCCAAATCTCTATAGTATCGCACCATATCGTACGCTATATAAACACATAGTTCTGACCCCACTAACCCCAGCGAGTGACCTTACATGATCGCGCAAAATACTATACTGTTGCGAGCAACCAACCAACTAGGAGGCTTGGGACCTTTTCTTTCACAAAAATCGGGAGGGAACTTCCGCTCCTAAAAACGCCACCTATCAAGACATTAAAACCGGACCTTCACCTCTTCGGGCCAATGCCACATCTTCCGCGCCAGGACCCCTACTCAAACACGCTCTCATCGTGCTCACGCACACACATCTAGATAAGGTGGATGTCGAGGAAAGAACCAAAGGTGGGTGCGGCAAGGGTAAGGAAAATAGGATCTGAGTTCTAGTGGAACTCAAACAATTTCTTGATCTAGATCACCAGGTTAGCAGGTCATCGTTAATCACAAATCAAATGCTCCGAACCTCTTTTTTTATTTTTTTGAATATTCTTTTCCTTGCTACGTTAGCTACCGTTTCGGTGTGGGGCAGCGTTGCTGACATGGGACGGTAATGCACTCTAGTACTGCATTCTCTCGGCCTGAAGTAAGCATCGTATTCAGTGTTCGCAGGCGGCCAGTCCAGCCAGGCTTGAGGTCCAGGGTGGCCGGCCTGGGCTTCTTTGGTGACCCGCCGGGCCGGACTGTAGGCCATAGTCCGGCTTTACTGGCCTATCTGACCGGCCCTGGCCGTACTGTATATATCTGTAGGCTTTTAGATATCTGCGGGCATCTTCAGATATCAGTGGTGAACAGACGCAATATTTACTGGTCAGGTGGCATATGTCAAAAGCCTACCGGTACCCCCAGGCATCCATGTAGCCCATAGGCTTCACCAAAGCCTGGCCTACAAAGCCCAGGTCAGTTTCACATTGAACTGGCCGGGCCGGACTATGCATCTGCAGGCTATCTGCAGGCCGGCCTGGCCGCCTGCGAACGCTGATCGTATTTGACTGCATGCACACCTAACATTTGTTCGTTGCATGACTGAGGGGGGCTCCGGGTCGACACCATTGCGGCATGTATTAGAAGAGGTTTGGGGGTTGCTGTGGGTTATATTATGCCCTCCCTCCTTCGGAGTAGAGAGGCTGCCTCCTCAAAGTTTCGCTTTAGAAGGCCCTCCCAGTAGTGGAAACCATCTCTCCTCAATCTCACTTTCCTCAATCTCACTTTCCTCAATCTCACTTTCCTCAATCTCACTTTCCTCAATCTCACTTTCCTCAATCTCACTTTCCTCAATCTCACTTTCCTCAATCTCACTTTCCTCAATCTCACTTTCCCTCTAAAAGAAGGGCTCTGATGATGCGGATTTCTTTTCTCCCTGCGCTTTTGGGCGTTTTCGCTTTATCCGGTGCTGCACAAACCTCGGACAAATGCCCGCAAGCCACGGGAGCCGTCGCCTCTCACTCTAATTGCCGCTGTTTTCCAGGGGACCCTTGCTGGCCGTCAACACAGAAATGGGGCGAATTGAACGCCACAGTCTCTGGAAAATTGATCGCTACAGTTCCCCTCGGCGCTCCTTGCCATGCACCCGATTACGATGCATCCAGATGCCAGTATATCAAGGAAAATTGGCACTCTCCTGAACTCCAGTATGTGGACCCCCCTCCATCTCTGTCCCGAGAACCCCCAATGGGTAGAGCCAAGTTACTGATCGATCATTGCAGCGACAAATCCTCGAGTTCAATTATGGCCTCATTCTACGCTAACAGGAGCTGCGATCCTTTCATGCCCGTTGACAGTCCATGTCAGGTTGGTGCTTATGTTCGCTATGCCATCAATGTCACTGAGCCGGCGGATATTATTGCGGGCATTGAATTTGCCAAGAAGAATAATGTTCGCCTGGTCATCCGCAATACGGGTCATGAGTAAGCATGACCTCTCTTCTAGTTAACTAATTGGATACGGGTTAATTTGGTTGTTTCATGTAGCTTTCTTGGTAAGTCCTCCGGACCTGGATCACTGTCTCTCTGGACCCACCACCTTAAGGATATCGAATACATCCCTGAATACAAATCGGAGGCCTATCATGGGCCAGCGCTCAAGGTTGGCGCCGGAGTCCAGGGTATCGAGGCGTTTACCGCTGCGGACAAGAACGGTGTCGTTGTTGTCGGAGGCGTGTGCCCTTCGGTCGGTATTGCCGGTGGATACACTCAGGGTGGTGGCCATTCAATATTGATGGGCAAGTATGGTCTCGGGGCTGATCAGACCCTTGAGTTTGAGGTTGTGACTGGAGAGGGCAAACATGTCAATGCAAGCAAGACCGAGAATACGGACTTGTATTGGGCCCTCAGCGGTGGTGGTGGAAGTACATACGGTGTTGTCACCTCCATGACTGTCAAGGCGCACAAAGATGCCCCCATGGCCGTCGCAGAGTATTCCTTCAGAACTAGCACTGATGATGCCTCTATGGATAAATTTTACGACGCTCTCGACTTTCTCCACCAAATGGCCCCCGGGTACTTTGACCGCGGTGGCTACAGCTTCAATATCTACTCTAAGGGATCCTTGCCTCTTGGCTATTTCTTCGGCCCCGAGTGGACCAAGGAAGATACAGCTGCCTTTTTCCAACCATGGGTTGAGAGGCTTGAGTCTCTTGGCTTGCAATACTCTCTCAACATCACCGAGCACCCCAGCCATCTTGCTGCCTATAACTCGATGAACAACCCCGAAACCATAGGAGCCTCACAGTCTGGCGGTCGCATAATCCCGAAAGGCACTATCCTCAACAAGCGGGCCCAATTCAATCAAGTTATCAAGAATATCGTTGAAGACGGAGCCGACATGCTCGAGATCGTGGCTCACCCCACCTTGGAGGTTGCCGGGAATCCAGATAATGCCGTTCTCCCCGCTTGGCGTGATAGCGCAATTTTCCTTATTGTCGCGATGTTAGTATTTCATTTTCTCGATTTTGATTTTGATTCTGATCTTTTTTCCAAAAAAAGAAACATCTGGAAACTAACGTGGATTTTTCTAGCCCTTTTAACGACACCGTAGAATGGTCTCAGATGCTCGAAGATCAAAAGACTATCACCAAGTGGGGCGGACTGTTGCGCGAGTTGGCTCCCGAATCCGGCGCCTATATGAACGAAGCCGATGCCAACGAGCCCAACTTCAAACGCGAGTTCTACGGAAAAAACTATGCCAGACTCCTCTGTGTCAAGAACAGGTACGATCCTGCTGGTATCTTCTATGCCCTTACGGCAGTGGGAAGTGATGCCTGGACTCAGAGCCCCGATGGAAGACTCTGTAAAACCAATCCCTAGTAATAATTCCCTTACTGGAACCTCCTTTTCTTTCCGCGTGTTAAAAATGTGGGGTCCGTCTCTTGCCCAATCTGCAATCTCGTAGATCAACACAATCACACTACCCTTTTCTCTGTAGCCCAGCGTGATGACGGTGATGAAGCGTTTAAAGAAGAATTTTGAGTGAATTATGGCAGAACGTGAATCGATCCTTCAGTCTAGGCTTTGAAAAGAAAAAGAAAAAAAAGAACGAGGAAGGCGATATGGGTTTATAGTCTCAATAATTTGTATCAGGATGTCGTGATGCTGGCAGTCTGACTTGACCTAGTATCAAAATGTCAATTACATACTTGCGCTACTGGGTTGAAGTCGGAAACCCATGCAGAGTAATAATTTACTGGCATGGTAGCGTACCAGTAATAGTTTAGGGCGCGTCTGGCTGTCCACGTGCCCAGAAAATGCTAAGACCGCAAGACACAAGTTCTACCCTGCAACTGTGGTTGTCCCAGTTAGTGTGATCCAGACAAATAAAAGCCAAGGCATTATCTAGCCAACCCTAGCTAAATCTAAGAATTGTACCTTGTCTATTCTCATCATACTATCCTAGGTATGATATCAGTATTCCATCCACTAGTACAGTACTACCATTCAGGTACCTATGTACCCTCTAACTCCAAGTGCCCCCAGTGCTTTACCGATTATAGAGGAATTCCAGACCATCAGGTATTCCATAGTTGTGCTGATGCACATCCAACTACTCCTATCTGCGATTGGTGCTGGGTTGTTACAAGTATTCCTACTAATAGTGTTAACGTGCAGTGTTCGCAACGGGGCAGTCCCTCCGTCCTGAGGGTAGGGCGAGGACGGACTAAAACTCATAGTCCGTCCAGCCATGGAGAGAATTTTGCCCGGGGCTTTTGGCAAGAGGGCGAGGAAGGCCATGGGACACTACAACTAGTTGATAAAATGTCTTAGATTGTTGGGCTCTGCGGGGCCCCATGGATAGGTTGTTACCCACAGATCCCCACAGATCTCAATGGGTCCCCACATCCTCTAGTGAAAGCCTGTAGTCCTTTGCCGTCACCTGCAGTCCTTGTACCAGGACGTCAAAATTATGTCCCAGCCTGTCGGGCCCGTGGTCTTTGCCAGAGCCTGTGGTTCCCAATATTTTCCGGACTGGACGGACTATAAATTAGTGGTCCCGTCCAGTCCAGTCTTCTAGGCAGTCTCCCCACGGGGTCAGGGACCCCAGACCGTTGTGAAAACTGGTGTTAAGTATTTTACTATAAGCTTCCAAGAGTAATTCTTCACTCCGGGGACAAATGTTTTGATGGTTAGGTTCTAAGCTTAGTGTTTGTGGTACTTTGTAAGGTCATATACAAAAAGTATGAGGAGAAATTTTGGTAAAGAGTTTCTTTCTTGTATTGTATGTGATTATAAATTGTGTTGTCCCGGATGCGACATTTATTAGCCGGGCAATCATTACTCTTCAGGTTTATGGGTGTTCGACATCAACTCAGCCGAAGAAGCCGGAAGGGAAAAAAGGCACTCGTATATTCCAACAAACAATCAAGTCAATCAATGATTTAATTAACCAACCTATCAATAAAGAACTACATGAATCCCCTGGGCAAGATACGAGACACCACCGACCTTATCCTCCCTCCTACACAACCTCAGAATCTCCCAAAGATTCGACTGCATTTGGCCACACTTGATGCATCCTTGATTGCCGCACAGGGCCGTGCTGGCATCTCCGATCGTCAGGATATGCGAGCAGCCCCCACCATTGGTGTTCCAATTACAGCAGAACCAATCATCCCAGCGCCTGAAATGAAGTGTGAGGTTAATGGAGTTTATTATGTTTGGGCTTCCACCGGAGGTCTCGCAGACGACCCTACCATTGGGATCATCGGGAGAGGGACCTGATTGGAGGAGGAGGGGTAGACCCGAGGCTTTGAATTGAGCTTCGTCGAGGATGTTGATGTTCCCGGGCCCCGAGGATGGGGAGGTGGTGGTGGTGGTAGTATCCTCGGTTGCGAGTTCGGAGGAGTGGAGGAGGGCTTTGTCGGAAAACTGCTTGATAGGAGAGCAGTTGGTGAGTGCGGTGAAGACCGCGAGGATCAGAAGTTGGTAGATGAGGTTCTTGAGAGCGAACATTTTGACTGGTTTTGAAGATTAGAGATTTGTTTGCTATCATAGATAGAGGCAGGATTACCTTTGAATTGAGCAGTTGTTGTTGAAGTTTGAGTTTGAGGTTACAGTAGGACAGATGAAATATGCGTTGGAAGCAATCCAAACACTTTATATAGTTTCGCTATTGCGTGTATTGGGGGCTAACCCACGACGGGGCAAGAGGGCATAGGTTACAGTTACAGTCACAACACCATATAATATTATCATAGAAACAAACTGTCCGTTGAAGTATTCTGTCATGATAATCATTGCCATTCACGGTATCATATCATACAATACCCAAAAAAAACCCCCCGAACTCCGAGTTCAACAACACTAAACGGTTAACTAAAAACAAATCCGCAGTATGGTATATCCTACCCAGACACGAACATAATTCAAGTTCCAACGATTGAAACCCCACTCCGAAGCAAAAACAAAAAAAGCAGTCATCCGTTAGGATACCCCCCACAAACACCATCATATCCTAACACACCCCAGAAAACGCACGGTACCGCCAGTTTAACATATATCTGCGATACCAGCCAGCAGCCCAAGTATCGTAGAGCTCACAATCCCCACCCCCCCCAGGAAGGGAGGGAAATGACCCACAGGTAGGGCGACGCGTCAAGAAGGATGCACCCGCACGACGGGATGTGATGATTCGACCCTTCACCACTGCTATATGACAAGCCCCCACAGATGATCCACCCGTTCTTACGGATTAACCCCGCTCGAACTTCATCAAGACTCAAGGCGTATTTTGGCGCACCGGGGTTCCCGATCCGAGAGGAAACCTGGTGGTAGATCACAAATTAAGCACGCAGACCTATCTTATCACGCTCAGGGTTAGCTACGGGTTTGGCAGGTATCCGGGGGTCTTCTAGCAAGGCTTAAAACATGCGCATAGTCAGCCAGCAATCATCCGAGTGATAGTCGATGAGCATAAAATTTCCTGAGTGATGGTCGATGAATATAGCCAACGCTCGACAATTATGATACCAGAGAAAAAAATCAAACTAAAAACCGTGATTCTATAATATTATTTCCCAATGAAAAAAGCGCAAAACAAAAAAGGATGGGATTTTACAAAGGCACATAAACCAATGCCCAACGCTCCAGCTTCCCAACCAGCCAGCTATGATAGCTAGCTGACGAACAAGCCTCTTAAACATTCGTTCCATAGTAAATAATCCATTCGCGGCACAATCCATCGCTCACAAGTTTAACTTTTCAACTCCCACCCCCACTCCCAAACGCCTTCTTCAACATCTCGAAATGCGCCTTCTGCTCTGAAGCCATTTTCCCTTCAGTATCCTATCCAGAAGACCCACCCGTCAGTCAGTCAGCCAACCAAGCAGGAGGGAACAAGTAACAAACCCCAATAACAGCCAACACCAAAGAATAATTATTAAACAAAAACCTCTCCCTCTTCTTAGCATCGGTAACCGCAGCACTCAACTTGGTCAGGAATGCTTCAAAATCACTCCTCAGCCTACCGAGACTATTCGCGACCGGTTCGTCATCCCCCGCTTCAGCGCTGAGTGTAAGTATCCCATTCATGAAACCGGAAAATCGCTGGGTGAGGAAATGCGGGGCTGTGCTTTGTTGTTTGGTTGATGGTCCCCCACCCACACCGACACCACCACGGCCGGATGTTGAAGTGGTGGAACGGCGGAGAGACTCGCAGTGGGCATCCATGATTATTTGGAACCGTGGCCAGAGGAGCATGTTCGTTGCGTTGATGTACGCGTCTGCAGCGGGGATTCGGCGTTTTTGCATCTCGAAGGCGGAGTATTGGTTCAGTCTCACGCAGAGCAAAACGCCAAGGCAGTCGAGGGTGGAGTCAATGAGGGACTTCGTGAAGGTCCGGCCGAGGGCGAAGGTTGGGTCGAAGATTTGGTGGAACACTGTCGAGGCTTGGTCGTAGGTTTTGTGCGAAAAGAATTCGGTAATGAAAGAGTATTCCGACGAGACGTTTTCTATGAGGGCGGTGTTGAAATGGCGGAATGGTATTTCGGGGTAGTGGGGTGTGCGGTCTTCTTCAGCCTGGCTTGCTGTGAGTATCGGCGCCGTGCGGTTTTTTAGGGTGTCTATCCGTCGGCCGATATTGAATGCGTCGTAGGAAGGGTGTGCGGAGGATTTAAGAGATGGGATGAGGTTGTCTAGAATGTTAGTTTGGGTATTCGATCTGGCGTGGGTGAGAGGCATACTCCTTCTTGCGGGCTCCTCTTGGCCTACAACATCGTGCTTGTCCATCACATGAAGCCTTAATTTCTCGAGAGACCTATGATACCGTGTGAAATGGCTCAGGTAATACCATCTCATTGTATTGATATAAGCCTGACCAATCTCATCGGCCAATTGAACATGGTGATTGGCCATGAACTGGAATAACGCTTTGTACCTCAGGAATCCAGACTGCTGTATAACCTGAGCATTGGCACCAGGAACTCTAATAGCCTTAATCCTCGCAACAAAGAAATCCCTAACCCTCTCTATAGCCTAGCTCACAAATCAGCACCCGGCCCTGAAAAATCGACTGTGACGTACCTTGTGTTCAAGACGATCCAGCTCAGGCTTAACATCCTTAGTAGCTTTAACCTTCGTAGAATCCAATGCAGCAATAGCTTTCATTTTAGTATCCACCTCCTGTAAACTCCTCACCCAACTATCATTGACATCCCCGTCGATAATCCTCTTAACAACATTTGGTGACAGCGCAACAGCTTCAACGACGGGCCCAAGAAGCTTCTCAACGCCCTATAGTCCCCCCAATTAGCTCAGGTCTTCTTCCCTCTTAGAAAAGATAACGGAACCCACCCTCCGATTCTCAAGCCTCTTATTCAGCATCGTCGATCGATCCTGCAATGTCTCAATCTCCGCACTAACAACCCCCAAATCCGTCTGAAAAGAATACAAATACGACTCGACAGACTTAAGCACCTCATCGCAAGATTTAATCGACCGATGCAAATCCTGAAACTTGCCCTTCTCTCTCTCATCTGTTCATTCACTCTTAGCCTTTACATCTTCTCTCCAATCGAATCCAATCGAATCTAGGGGTGAAAACCAACATTCATCAATAGAATGAGCACTATAAGCCCTAGCCCTACTCTTAATCTCCCTCGCCTGAACCTCTCTCCCCTCCTCACACTTCAAGAACTCTTCCAACCCCCCCTCTCCAAATTCAATCCCTTCCGCATCCTCTACCTCCGGCTCCCATGAGCTCCCATTCCCAATCACATCCTCCTCCTCTTCAACCAAAGGCTTAACCTGCGCATCCAGAATCTCCTCCAGGACATCCAGGGGATGCCGCACCCCGGCCGGCCGGGGCCCTCCAGAGACAGCCCTCTTTCCTGCTCCACCGCTACCACTACTAACATTATGCTGACCGCGCAGCGAGGCGGGTGAACCCGTCGCGGATGCGGTGTTGGAGGCGAGACTCAGTGACGATGCGCGAGGCGTGAGCTGCGCTCTCCGGCCGCTGGTTCCGATACCCCCGGGTAGAGGACTGGGACTGTAGGGCCTATTGTTGAAGAGGGGGCTTTGTTGGTGGTGGTACGGGAGGGCGCCAGGAGGGGGGGAGTTCGTGGGGGTATTGCCAGTTGGCGTGGACCATTGGCCCGGCCTCCACATGGTTTGTGCGTGTGTTTGCGGCTCGTGAGAATCGGGAGGGGAGTTGTGGTCCAGGTCGAGGGAGAAAATACTGTCGGTGCGAGCTTAACTTACTCTACTCTAAGGTAGCTTGGCGAACTTGGAGGATACTGACTTTCAGGTTTGAGGCTGAAAATGGGTTACGGTACCGGTACGAGTACAAGTAGTATCATGGAGGAAGCTTTGCGCCAAGACGGGATGTTCCGAGACCACAACCTTGGGGAGACCCGGGGAGACCCGGCGAGCTTTGTGCGGGATGGTATCATAGCAGTCTGTGTAAGATGTGCTTTGCAGCCCAATCTTGTTCACCTCCTAGTATCACTTTGTTCTACTTGGGCATTTGCCTATGACACTTGAAAATATCGGAACCGCACCCCCTAGTATGAGATGTAATAGTACAGTACAGTCCAGGTCGAAACAATCCATCAGCCATTGCTTGATCCCATAAAAAAAGTGAAAACAAAAACCAAAGGGCTCGAACACGACTAAACTCCAACTATGTAAAAGACAAAAGGCCAACTCCCCTTCACCCATCACCCATACCCGCTGGACAAGGCCCACTTTCAGTAAGTTAATCAAGCAGCACTAACAAAATATAGAAGAGAAAGGAATGACCATAAACAATGTCCACCCAGAAAGAGAAGAGAGGGAAAGGGAAAAGAGGGGGGCAAGTGAAAAACTGTATACACTGTTTAAAGAGGTTTATGTAGAAGTCGAGAAAACTTTTAACAAGACGAAAAGAAAAAGGTAGCCCATCCGTCCAACCGTCCAGACCCATCGAAGGGGGTATAGAAAAAAGGATGAAAGTATCGCGATAGCACCCAGGCCCCCATGTTGCAAACTTGCCCCTACGCTCTGTGCGGCAACCTACCGGGCTGTTAGAAGGAAAATCTTAGGCTACTGTGCAAAGCGCAATCAAGTTATGAAATTTAAAGCAATCAAATCGCCTTACTCGGGCCATCAAGGTTTCTTTTGTTGTGATGGCAACTAGGCCTTGCCTATCCACCCGGAGGAGACGAAAAAGTCATGAATCTTGGATACTTTATTAACATCAATCTGCCATGGGGTCAGTTCGTTTGTCACCACCAACGTATGTGTAGGCGCTTACGCGGCAAAGATCTCTAGCAGCCTTCTTCTTGAGTACACCACCATGTTTCATGGCCTCCTTCATCAATATCTCCTTCATGCAGAGATATGGCTTCGGTTTTATCCTCAAAGTCTCACAGAGCTGCTGCTCTGCGGATGTAAGGAGGTGAAGGTCTGCAGCGTTCTCATTCGACAAGTGCAACGGCGGGTACGAGGGTGCGATTGTTGTACCGTTGCCAGTGCCATTAACATTGCTCGTAGCATTTAAGCCGTTCGCAATATTCTTCTTCACCAATCCATTCACCACCACAGGAGAGGGCGAAGTTGGAACATTGTTCGCAGGTGTTGGCGACAGCGCAGCCAGTTCCTGCGGTGCTGATGTCAAATGAGCCTTCGGTGCTACCAATGGGTTAACCGGCGGGGTTTCCACGGGGGGGGTAGCCTTCGAGGCATATCTATGAGCCAGGCGATCTAGTGGAGCAAGTTTGTTCCGAAGCACCTCGCTCTGCAAAACAACACATTAGCCACCTTCTTGTGGGAAGCACCAACGAATGAGGTATTCACTCTCTGCGCTTTCTCCATTTCATATTTCGGCCCCGCTTCCAACGACTCAATCCCCATTCTTCTCCACTCCTGAAGCTGAGAAATCGCTTGTCGGAGCAACTGCTCGTTCACGAGCCCCTCGGTGAAATCGTCAAAATCCCCCTTGTTCATCATCCGAGCAAAGGGTTTGGCCTTGTTCAGAAGCTCACGTTCCTCCTTCAGCTTCTTCTTCTCGTTGGCAGAGTTCTTTCTATAGTCCAGCAGATTGTGCTCATACATAACTCTTTTCCGTTGAGCGCGTTGGGTAAGCTTGTTGTTGTAGATATCCATCACTGTCAACTTAAGGTCAACCTCCGGTTCAACAGCGCCGGTAATTGGATTAAGCCCCTCGCCAGGTTCAAAGAACAGGTCTTTGACGGCCATCTCCGCTTCATTATCCCATTCGGCCTCGAATTCCATTCGGCCGGGCATATATCCTTGAATCTCATGACAGGCAGGCTGCGATGTGGTCGGCTTCTTCTTAGGAACGGTGGGCACACTATCGGCAGCTTCCTTCTTTCTCAAATCAATGCGGCGCTTTTTTCGTGCCTGGAATTCTTCCCTGCTAACGCTAGCATATGTCATGTCGGCTGGGTCGGCATGCTCGGGTAATGGGAACCTGGGCGAGTCGATATAAGTCTCTAGGTAATGCTTCTTGACCTCTTCTTTATCCCGCCCACCTCCGATATGATCCGCGATGTCCGCCCATGACCCAAGCCCGTAAGTTTCTGCACCCTCGAGCAGCAGGAGTTCCTCGTCCGCTCCCCAGTCTGCCGTGAAGATGGGGTAGGAGTGTTGCTCGATGACCTGATATTGGTGGGTTGCCGGGTTGTGGTTATTAGTGGAGGCACAAGACGTAAAACATGGTACACAGAGATCGTAATCAGTGCAGAGAGAGTTAGCGCAGCGTATCCGAACCTAGACATGATACCGATGTAAGTACACGAAGAGACGGTCACATTACAGAGAGAGGGTTGCGACAACGCTGGCACCACATTAGGTTTAGAGTTACTGACAGTGAAGGTGATGTCGCCGTTACAAACGTCACAATGGTAACGCACGCCAGGCTCGACACGGCCCGGGTTAGCGGCCTTCTTCTTGATAACGCCCATGCTGGGAAAGGTAGAATGTGATGGATAGCGGTGGCGATGTAGGCACCGAGGCGTGTGTGCGATGGGAGGTGGTAAGGATGAGGCTCAGCGAAAGAATGCACGGTACGGAGATGGAGGTAAGAAATCGCGCGAAAAGCCAAGGCCGGGGGGGTACAGTACAAGTCAACAGGAGGCAGGGTATCGGGAAGTTGCTGAGAGGGCGATACGGTCAAGAGGACGAGAGCCGTGGATAGGAGGCACTACGGCGTGTTCCACACCCGACGAATTATATATTAAAGAATAAAAACCCGGACGCGATACAAGTCGAAGGAAATGCAGAGTCTCGAGCGATGGAGTGGTCGGTCGCCGGTTTTCAGGGGATTGATAGGTTTCTTTTTTTGGTGATGGCGGGATACTCGTGCCAAGGTTGTGGCTGTGCCACAATCCACGACTGCTTGCTGGCTCGCAAATGTGGGCACTCTTAGGAGAGTGCCCGACAGCTCAACGGTCTTCGTCAGCTCAATGGTCCTTGGGCGTTGCCATAGAAACCTCATAGCTCGATACAACAGCACCTAAGGTGTTGTCATAGAAACCTGATCATACTAAGAACATCCGGTACCCCTACAAACGTAACAAAAACCAGATCACATGACCATGTTTGGTCAGCCCGTATTACCTGAAAATAAAATAAAGTAAAATAAAACAATGTAAAGGGAAAGTAATATAACTGATAAAATAAAATCTTATTCTATAATATTCTGAGAAAGGTAATATAAAATGTAAAGTAAAGTCATATTAGGTAATATGTCACTTCAGCAGTAGTGTTGGAAACCTAGGTATATCTGTTTGGTGCATTTAAGCATAACTTGAAGGAGGCCCAGGTGCTGATATTTATAACTATGGTAAGGTACTATATCTAGACTCAACTATCACACCATTCAATCTATATAGTGAAGTTTCTGACATAGTTACCACTGGCAGTATAACACAGTTAAGGTAATCAAAAATAGGTATATTATAATATTATACTATAATATTATGTTTAACAAATTATTTCATACAGTATAATATAATAAAGTACTAGGATAAAAGGAATCATCCAATGCCCTTTCCTATACCAAAAGTACACATTTTCACTACTTTCTCTCTTACTACACAATATCTATAAGAACCTATACAAGTTTGTTCATGCATTAGTGAACCTATAAATAACATGAAAAATATCACAGACCCCTTTAAATATTATAAAGTAATGAAGAAAAGATTGTTTAAGTTTTTGGTACCAGTTGCCATATACCTTTTTATATAGAGTCTCACACAAAAATTTAGGTTACTTTTACACTAGTTGATACAATTATAAACAATAAAGACAGTTTTGATTCCTTGCACTTCTACTTATAGATGTTAGAATAGATGGTCATTTTCTAGCTGATAAAATAATTTGAAGTGCTTTCATATAAGTAGCATTGAGAATTGTCTATTTAGAAATGTCTATTTTTGGTGTAAAAAGGATATCAGACGATCTCTTTTATCCCCATAATATTATCATACCGGTGTGGTGTGAAGGTTTTAGGGGGTTTTTGGTCATGTTTTACAGGTTTTTTTACCCATGGAATTTTCTGTTTGGGATGAGGCTTAGCCAGTGGAAATTTTTCACCTGGAGGCATGGCCTTGCCTTCCTCAGGGAGAGAGGAGGAATGGAGCAAGAGAGACCTATCCTGTACCACCTTCTACACCACCTTCTTTCTTGTTGTTTTGGAGCTTTGTTTCTCCACTCTTTTCCTCTTGCTTTCTCACTGTGTTTCACTGTCAACTTTATCAGCCTAATTCTACTCTCTTATCCGGTTTAATATTACATCATACGGTCAACACAATTGCACAGGTGTCAGCTCGGTCAATCACACCATCCAAATTACGGGAAGTCAACAGAGACTCTTCCACACCGGTATAATGCACTACGGTAGCTTAGATCACAACGCAATACAGGTAAATCCAGCACCATCAACACTGTAGGGGATAAGTAATCAATCTGGTTCTTGTCCCCTGCCCCACACCATCCGCCCCCCCTCCCCAAATTGAGAGTAAGTCACTGCAAAAGAATTCACGATATACCGTCGTCAGACAACGCCTATGGGAGCAAACAACAAGGTCCGAGGTCTCGGAGCCTGCGCTCGTACTGTACGCATACCAACATACGAACATCCCAAGCCTCACAACTCATACCCAATGCCTCCAGAGACTCCACTTAAATTTCTACCTATGACGTGAGAAGTAAAAAAAGAAAAAAAGGAAAAATCAAAGCAAGGAGAGAAAAAGAGTGTCATCACATTAGCCATAAAGTAAGAGTGGCCCAGTCCAGTAAGCGTCAATTAAACACCGGTGGTGCCGCCATAACTCCCTTCCCGAAAAACTCACTGATAGTGCCAAATTTATCCCTCGACTCCTGCAGCTGTGAATTGAAGTATTCGTGACGATCCGCATACTCATCCTGGGCCTTTCTGAGCGTGCGGATAGTCTGATTCGAGGCCGAGCAAGTCGGGCATTCCGGGTTGTCGTCGACATTGTTGAGACACCGTTGGTGGAAGGAGTGCTTACAAAGGAAGTGTACTGTCGGGAGTTCCAATTGGAGACTGCAGGCGAGACAGCGTTGTGATTGGAAGACACTAGGCTTTGAGCCAAGGTCTTCGATTTCGGCCTTTTTCTTCTCTGTCTCGGTTTTGTAGTTTTCAATCATACGGCGATTCTACAATTGTTAGTCTGCTGGGGTTGAAATAGGGTTTGTGCTGGTGAAAGAAAAGACATACATTTTCGATCTCGCGTCTTTCTTTCTCGATGGTGTCCCCGAGGTAGCGTTTCACCATGCCAACCGTGGCGACGGCATTAGTGCTTAGTGTTTGTACCACTTGCAGAGGCTTCATCAAACCCTGCTCATCGATAACCTTGAGCACCCGCTGCAGTTCTGCCTCTCCGACATCCGCAAGAACTTTGGGACTACTCGTGAAGTACGATAATGCTGCAACATACAGCTGTGGCTCTTCCGCCCCATACTTTTTCAATGCACGGACAGCACCAGCAGTGTCTCCAGCTGAACAGCAGGATCTGAATATATCAAAGCGCAGACCCTGCTTCTCGCGAACCAATACAGTCCCATCCCGGAAATTGGAGAGGTGGGAGAGCAAAAGGACGTTAGATGTATCTATCAAAGTCTTTTCCTCTCTCCGTTAGTAGTGCTCGAAATACAAGGTGCGGATAAACTTTACCTCTTTATCCTCAATAATACCTTTCGCCTTGGCTTCCCATTGCTGCTTCTCCTCCGTAGTCTTAGCTTCATTAGCCCGTTGAAGGTACATCTCAAACAACGTCGTATATATATCCACTCGATCCCCTTCACCAAGCACACCCTCACGAGCCGTCTCCAGCACGTTCTCTAAAAACTCCACGAACTCCTTCGGGTGATCAACAAACGACGAAAACGCAGTTCTAGGTCGTGGAGGCTTATAAGGCGCTGGAAGGTCTAGCGGGACGGCACCTCCGTCCCCAGCAGCCGAGTCCGAGATCTTCCTCGGCGAAGCGCTAGCGGTGGCATTCGTTGACGCATTCGTATTTGGCGATGTACCTCCAGCCGTCCCTCCGCCCCCCATATAAGGCAACTGTTGCAACAGCGAGGCGTTAAGGTAGCTCTGAATTCTCCCTTCCTGCTGCTGCGTTTGAGCGCCCGGCTCCTCCTTCTTTCTCGCAATATACCTCCCAGTATAATATTCAATGAAGAAGTCGGTAGTTTGTTGTGGGACCTGCCGCAAAAAGGTCCTTGCATACCTCATCAAACTGGAGTATGCCTAGAAGATAATTAGCAGCAGCATAATTGAAGGTAAAGACAAGAACATGCAATCTCAGGCTCTAGCCTTTTCGTGTATCCTAGCGCCTCATCCACCTTCCCCAGATTCTCCACGAGGATTCCAACGACAACCTCATGTTCACCCTGCCTCTCCGCCAGGTATACAGCCTGCTCATGGTAGCCAGCCTGTCTGCACATAGCAATAGCAGTATCAACGTCAAATCTCAAGCCCTCACCGGAAGACACCCTGATAAACTTTTCCAACTTCTCAATATCCTTGAGCTTAGCGTAGCAATTCAACAGCAACGTCGTATGATCCGACGTTGCAATATTATGCATATGTAACTCCTCCAGATATTCAATAAGGTTGTGGATCCGCTGGGTATCCAAGAATTTCCGTATGACAGTACTGACACCCTCCCCATCCGATTTACCAATGGCTTTGATATACCACTGCATAGACCCATCCCAATCTCCTTTGCCATACAGGTAATCGGCATATCGCCTGTATATCGTCCGTAACTTCGCCTCCCCAACTCCAGCTTTCTGAGCCAAGTTGATGGCAGGGATGTAAAGATTTCTAGCGTACAGGATTCCCAGCTTCTCCTGTAAACTGACCTCGTGATATCGATGAACCTTCCCGTCGAATGTCAAAACAAACAAATCACCCCATGTGCTAAACACTTGCTTGACGCCAGAAATCAATCTCTCCGAGTGCGCCACAAACTTCAGTTCCGTGTCCAGAAGTGTGAACTTTGTTACATCGAAGGGATCCTCGCTAACTGCCGCCGACGCACCCCTCCCTACAAGCCTTTTTAGCGTCCGCGTCATCCCGCCGGACTTGGGTGCAGTGGAAGGTTGCGAAGCTGGTGGCGAGACCAAGGCGACATAGTTCTTGAAGATGTGCACCATCTCCTTCGGCCCCTCATATGCATAACATGCCCCTCTCCCGTTCGGCCCATAAAAGTATATTGCATCATCCCTTGCCACCACGATGTCACTTCCCTCCCCAGCAAGGCCCTTTTCTTCGGACGAGAAATCGATGGCAGGCTTCATGCATCCAGGTCCACACCCCTGTGATTCTAGCACCCTCGGTTGGCCAGTTCCCTTACCGGCCGTAATCAATGTCAATATGCGGCCGATAGTTGAAACGTACAAAGTATCCCCACCATCGGGGGCAGGTGTGTGGCGGTAGGGGCCGAATCCTCCCTGGTGAGCATGAGCATTCGGAGTCGTTGGTGGGGGCGAGAAGCACAGGTTTGTGATGGGCTCTTCAGACTCGAAGATGATCCTCTGCTTGGAGCCACGATCGTGGATTAGGTCACCACGGATCAGTACAATAGACCCGTTAGCGAACCCAACGGCAACGAGCGATAGCGAAGGCGTGGTAGCGAACGCGGATATCTGTAGCCCCAATCAGCGATCCCCCTCTCGAGTACCTCCGTAAACACCACAACTGACCGGAAACTGCCGTCGACCATTCTGGATCGTCACTGTGCTCTGACACCGCGGTAATCCCGTCTTCCTCTCCGTCTTATCCAAAGCCCACACCTTCAGCACAGGATCGGTGCTTAAATCCTCGCTGACCGTGACAAGTAATTTCGTTCCCTCCACCTGCTTGATGTGCCGAATGCTCCCCACATGCTCGGAATCATTCTCATACGTCGGAAAGGACCTGATAATCTTGAATGCCGAATTGACCACATGTACGAACCCAAGCGAAGTTCCAATGAAGAGAGTATCAGACCCAGACGTTAAAGTCGTGATATCCGCGCCCTGTTCCAGCAATCCATCGTTAGGACCCAGTGGCGAAAGTGATGGTGATGTGGAGGGTCAAATACCTCAAACAGGGGAGGTGCATTGTCGGCCCCATCGGTAGCCTTGACGGGTGTTACTATGAAGAAGTTGAACGATTTCCACTATGAACCGTTAGTCTCTGTGAGTGGGGGAAAAGGGAAGTGTCGCTGGGCGGGCGGTGGCACTGACCGAACCTAACGCCATGGTGAAGCTATTGTGGATTGTCAAGCAAAGCCGTTGTTGCAGCTCCGAGAACCCGAATCAGGTGTTGAGGCTCAAAGGTAGGCCTGTTTTTAGTAGCATGGCATTGTCTACCGTCAGCATGCCACGCTAACCGGCATGCATCATCACTCGCCAATGTGACAATATCACAATGTGATTCAACCCATCGCATCACTCACAGCAGCGATTTTTCAATTTCGCAAAGAATGTCCAGTAATACAAGGCTACTCGGATGAAACTCCTATAGACCTATTTATCCCTTATAATTTCTCCTTCTAGGGGGAAGCAAGCACTGCCCACTAATCCTCCCTAAAATACCCTACTATTTTTTTTGCAGGCCCAACGCTTCAAGCTCCTCTGCCGAGAATCACACGGGTGCGAGTCTGCGCACGCCCAAGCCCCCTGTCTCGTCCACGGTAAACTGTCGGGGGAGCTGCTGCCCTATCATACATCTATCATACCTCTCACAACTTCAATCCAATAACCTCCACCTGTTTAAATATTCCGCCCACAACTCTTTTCAACAGTCTACTATCATGGGAAACCTTTGCGGTAAAGAGTCCGGCCCTTCGTTCCCAAGCGGTAGAGTCCTTGGTTCCAGCTCGTCGCCGGCGACGGCGGCTGGCGGAGTACCGCTTAGGAGCAAGAAACCTAAAATAACTGGTGGACCTGGGCGAACTTTAGGAGGAGATTCGGGAGGTGGCTCGGGAGGTGGTTCGGGAGGCGGTCCGGGCGGAGGAAACGCAGAAGCTGGAGCTGTCGCTGGAGAGCAGTTGGACCCACGGACAGCTGCGGCGTTGGCTGCTGAGGTTTGTTTTTCAACGACGTTTCTGGGGCTCTGGCGCTAACTCGACGCCCGATAGGAACGCTTGAAAAAGAATGCAGTGACGGGAAAGTTAGGGTCGGAGTTGGATAAGCAAAAGCGAAAGACGCAAAATCAGCATATCCAGGATCTGGGGAAGACAAAAGGGCAACAAGAACAACTGGTTTGGGATTAGCCCATCGAAGGGTGTGCGAATAGTTGGCTGGGTGGTTGCGGGTGAGGCTCTGCAATTTGGTACTCCTTTCCACGTTTTCTTGTCTACAACTTTTGGGTTGGAGTTTTTGTGGAGGGATTTGTTGCTTTTAGAGCCTTTTCACGCCGTCGTATGTTCTTTCTTTTCACTCTGACAGGGTACGGTATCTCTGAATGTTCGCATCAATGAAATCGCTCGACAAAATGATGCGTGAACTTTACAAGGGCCTATTAAACTGAACAGCTTTCCGACCGGTGTGTAAAGTAGAGATTATCATTATCAAAGTTTATTACAACCAAGTTTTGTATATATTTAATACCGTTGACGCCAAATCGTATGCGTATAACTACTCGCTCACGAGCTGGGCCATGTTAGCCATGAACAGATAATTAGAGATATTGTAACTTACCATTTTCTCGATTCCCGCGGCAGTAAAATCGTCCCTCCTCAGTAGGTATGGCCTCAAAAAATGCGGTCTTACGCGCGAAAGCACCCCATCTCTCATACGATCTTTGACGGCGGCAGGTCTGAAGCATCGAGTCAATATAAATGACCTCATAACAGAGCTTTTAAAGGGATAGATAATACCCAACGACAAAGAGATTTCCGATCTCGACAAGCAGCTCAAAGCTCTCGTTGATTGTCATTACGCCCCACTTGTTGACGACATCCTGATACTTTGCTATATCCTTTGAAAGCATAATGCCACCAGCCTGATTGACCTGGTACTTTTTCAGGTGCTCCAACAGCAGGCCTCTAAAGCCAGAGCCTATCTCACTTAAGAATGATTCTAGGTTCGTGCCATCTAGAGACCCGTTAGAGATCTCCGCAACTTTCTGGAGAAATACGCAAACAGATAAACAGGTCTTTTAAATGTTAGTAAGTGATACTTTTAACCTTTGCGACCATTGGCACTAACCGGTGTTTGAAGAGTCGTTAGGCTGACATCGTCATCCTTCGGTCTGAAATCTTGCTTCTTCTGCTTTGCTAGTAGAACCACGATATAGGCTAGAACAACTGAATGCCATGTCAATCCCCTACCCGCCGTTTGTACGGTATCTGTGGATACACACCATCGACAGTTCTTTGAATTATATTGTTGATCTTCTGCTCCAAGCTCATTAGGGCGGTATTGGTCGATTTGCCCATCTCTCGCCGAGTTGTGAGAGATGTCTGGGAAAGCGGAATTAAAGCGGTGTTGACGAACGAAAACATCAAATGCATGATTGTTGTTGCTGGCTTAATTTCTAGAAAGTATGTTAGATCTGGCTCGCCCTTCGTTTGCTGCTCAGCGGTTTCCTGCGCGCTATAGCTCACTAGTTAATCAGGGGCTCCTGATGGGGCATGTTTCTCGAAACTCACGCATCCAGGACAGTATCGAGGTATGCGGTCCGCATATGGTCAATCAAGATGTTCAGTAAAGCGGAAACATCTTTTGGTCTAACATCAAGTCAATAAACCCCCGCGCGGCTTGTCTGATACCATGTGACTTACGCATCAGCTGGTGCACTCAATTCCAAGCTCCTACCAACACCCTCGGCAAGCCATCTGAGCATTCTCTTCGCAAATTCAACCTTGAGCTGGCCGTCGGAATCTGCGAGGATAACATCTGATAAGTGGCTTCCTTTCCCAGACTTGGTGCGGTCTAATCCGATTATCCTACTAAGTGCGTCGCTTTGAGACTTTCCAAGGTCACTGTCCAGAACTTTTTCGATGGCTCGCTCTCGTGATTTCTTCAGTCGATCCAGGACTCCTAGATTTTGTTCCTTTTTCCGTTGTTCCTACGAGATCCCGTAATCAGTAATGGTGGATGTAGCGTTTCGGTGGACAAACGTGGAACATGTTGAACTTCAATAGTAAACCAGTAAAGAGTTGCTCTAAACTCTCCTTCTCTTTTTCCATATATCCTCTATCTTGCAGATATGGGACAAAGAGCTCCTCAACATTCTGATCTATGAGCACTGTCGTAGTGGATGATAGAGTTCCAGGATGCTCGGTTAGACCATGGGACTTGAGATTGTCTGCAAGGGTAGTGACGCACGCTCGTGCAGCCTGAAGTGTGCGTAGAAACGCTAGATGTGAAAGGGTAGAAGTCTTCTCCAACACCATCTCGAGCCGTTGCTGTAGAGATTGCTGAAACACGCGCTGAAGAAAAGTCCCAAGAACTTGCTCCGGGAATGGGAACACCTCCTTGATAGTTTGAGATTCCGCTTTCATCACGTCCCCGATCTCATTTACCAGGGCCAACAAGCCTGGTTCTAAACCTGGAGGTGCCTCATCTGGATCCGAGAGCCTTTCCTTGCTGAAGTGGGATCAGCGGGGTCTACTTTGAGCTGACGGAAAGCTGGCCACATACATGTTGGGGTCGATCACAACTTCCCCAGCGTTAATTTTCCCGGTAGCGATGAAGAAGTCCATCTGATTGAGAAAATTGCTAATCACGGAATTCCCGCCATTGAAATCGTGCAAAACCTTGGCGCAACCCTTCCGAGAACAAATTGTTAGCACATCTAAATTTGATATCAAGACACTGAACCTTACTTTCATAGCATTAACGTTGAACTTTCTATAGGCGTCATCAAATTGTTTTAGCAGATCCTGTTCCAGTGTCTCCGAGAAAGCCTCAATAAGTTCCTTTGTACGATTGTTTGTCATGTGCCCCTGGCTTCGTTTGACCACCAAGCTCAATTGTCGACTGACGACCGCGCATCGGATGCTGTCTTCAATTCTCCCGGTTCTTCGCAAGCTTTCCAGTCGACCCATATCACCTCTGCTGAATTCAGTGTAGCACTGGATCAGAAACTTGGCATCTTCTGCTCTCTGCCGTTGTTTGTCAAGCTGTTCCAGCTGCCCCCCGATCCTGATGGCCATGCCCCCTCCATCGGTGATGCTAGTATCCAACCGCTGGAATTCTGAAAGCGCAGAATTAAACTTGAGGCCAAGACGGTCGAGAGTCCGGGTGTGATCAATCTCCGCCCGACGAACCCCTTCTTTGAGCTCGGATTCCCTTATGCAGAGGATTTCGTCAAGCTCCTTCAGCCGACCAAGAGCTCCCTCAAAGTTTCGAATATACGGTTTCGGGTCGAAGGCTATCTCTGGTAAGCATACGGCCCAGCAAAAAAAAAAAAAAAAGGACACTGCGCAGTTTCAAACCATTACTATTCCCAGTCCCGGAACGACGATTTACAGGAATGCTTGATTCCGTTAGCTCCTCTATGAAGTCCTTGACTATGAAATCTTTGCTCTGGAAGTCCTCATTAGCATATCCCTAAGATGTTGTAGGTAATTGATGGCAAACTCACTGAGAAGGTCGAGAGAGAGAATTCCGGGGCTTTCGGGTAGATTGAGCGAGAATTCTCGCTGCTGTTTGCCATTGTGTATGTGGTGGTTAGAGGTTGAAGTGGAGTGTCCGGGAGACGCGTTGTCCCTGCCTTGGACAATCGATGCTGTAATCGGCCGGGTACAGCACTGTTACACTAAACCCCTTGCAGGTCTTCTTCTCCAAACTCTGCAGAAAATAGCAATCCATGCGGCGCAAGCTGCACGCAACGGCTGTCGGGTGTTATAGTGCAACCTGCCGTAACCAGAAGGTTACCATAATATTGGAATTCTGATTGCAATACGACGGCTCGGTAAGGCATAGTACGAGCATTCGAGCTCGGGGATGGAGTACGGTAAAGGCCGAGCATTCCCCGACACCTGGATCAGTTTGCTTAAATGATCGGGCGGGATGGAGGGAGTTCGGGTTGAACTTGTAAAAGCACGGACCCGAACTAAGCGAAGTATGACACTGTGATACTACCGTCCCGCATGAATTGCGAATAGACCAAATTGTGCGATACCTCTATCCCGTCTCATACTATCGTATGCTGTGGGGCAAGAACATTCCCGTACCCACATTCAAGTCTCCCCAAATCCTCGAGAGCAAGCCTTTGAAACACCAGGGCACTGACCACCACAGTGGGTACCAGTACCGGTATGGTACTGTATGTTTACGGTAATCTACGAGAATACTGTAGTGCAATCCCATACCATGAATAGAAACTTGAGCCTCATCCACACAAAGTGCATCTTGCATCACCCCCCTTCCCCCTGTCATCAATGGTGTGATATTTTTGACGTTTCCTCGATTCTTGCCCGCTGGAGATTCCCGTACCGTGCCCCTTGCAGGGGTCCCTTTCCATCTCGGAGTGCGGGTATCCTGCTTGCAGTATGCCGTATGGTTATCATACAAGTACTCGAGTACCGGCACCTGTGTGAGCAGTGTGTGGTCCAACGTGACCCCATCCCAACATCCAATTGGTATCAGATCAGATCTCAGATTACCAATAATCATTAGTAACCACGATAAGGCGGTACAAATACGATACTGCAGGTTACACCTCGTGATAGGAGGCGCATGGATTTGTGGCGAAGATTTGGCTAAGGTTCAGGAAATGTATGGTACTGTACTCGAGTACCCCTACTGTACTTGATTTGGGGGGTGAGCCTTATCACTCTTACTGGGAGTTGTGTCGTGCTCGAGTGCTCTTGGATTAACCCAAATCTACGATACCATGAATTAGAATTAAAGACGAATGTTTTCCAGCATTCCTCCCCACGGTTTAGCCGAAAGCTGGTGCCATTGTCTGGCGGGTCGGGATGGAACAAGTAGCGCCTAGCGCCCGCTGCCGCTATTTACTTTACCAGTGGCTCGGGAAGTACCGGCATCATGGATACCGCAAGGCACTTGCATTCTTGGCTGTCAGTCAGCGACGATCCGCTTAAAGATCTTCATGTGCATCGCCATCTTTCGCTGCGGTTGACCTCGTTCCACCCGTTCACCATGTTCCGTAAGGCTTGCATTGATCTACAGTATTATATCTAGGGTTTAACACATTTCCCGTCGGGAGATAGCGAACACTGAAAAGTCAAAATAGAGCCCAATCCGAATTTTTTTTCCCTTGTATCAGGAGAGAAAGAAGAAACATTTCCCGGAGTAATAGATGAGTACCGTATGCAGCGTTCCGATAGAACGCCTTTGTTGAAAATCAAGCCAGACTAAGCTAGGAAAAAAAGTATGCACAAGAGTTCTATAGCCCCACAACCGATCGTTTACAAAAGCAAATGATGAAAAGAGGCAAAGAAATGTTTGTAGAGCACTGCTATCAACGCATCTATCGAATATTTCTCAATGCCTGTTTATGGTTAGCTAGGCAGTTTTCAATGTGGTCGAATGGCTGACCAAATGCATAAACTCCTCTCTAGTCTTGGTGCTCTTTCTGAAGATGCCCAACATAGAGCTCGTAGTGGTTGTGGCCGTGGTCTTCTCCACTCCCCTCATGACCATACAAAGGTGAGCACTCTCCATCACAACCGCCACTCCCTGCGGCTGCAGAATCTCATCGATGGCCATGGCGACTTGCTTTGTTAGGCGCTCTTGAAGCTGCAAACGGCGGGCAAACATCTCGGCAATGCGGGCGAATTTGGAAAGCCCGAGGACCTTGTTATTGGGTATGTAGCCGATGTGCATTTTGCCTGTGAATGGGACCAGGTGATGTTCGCACATGGAGAACACCTCAATGTCTCTCACGATTACTGGACGGCTGTTAGCATTGAAAATAGGAATAAGGGGGAAGATGAAAGATACCAAGTTCATCGTGGTCTTCACGAAAAACAGCATTGTTGACAATGGTTTTGAGGTTTTCCTCATACCCTTTGGTGAAGTATAGCATGGCCTTTGCATATCTCATCGGGGTATCGAGCAGACCTTCGCGGTTGGGGTCTTCGCCGATACATTCCAGGAGTGTTTTGATCCTGAAGACGAGGGTCCGTCATTAGCTACGTTGCGCGCGCGCTAAGGGCGGAATCGGGAATACTTACGCCCCGGAAAGCTTGTTCAATCTGGCAGCAGCTTCGTCAGGGGTAGCCTCCAGCCTCTCCTTGGTTCCCAAACCTATATAGATTGCAAATCAGACCTTGCGACTCTCACAAACCAACCGCCAGTGAACATACTCGGCCAAGACAGCCCGTCAAAGTCAACCTTGGGCTTTGAGCTGCGTGGTGTTGAAGGCCTCGTGATCTCGGGAGTAATGAGATCGAGTGCAAGATCTGGACGGCTCTGGCCAACATTCCTGGATTTCTCCAGCTGCAAGGGAGCGACGTCATGCTGGGTTGGAAGTCTACCGCGCGGCATGATAGGAGCGAAAAGTTTGTCACTCTCTATCAATTGCTGGTTTCCCGGTCCTGTCGGAGGGGTGCTGGGCAAATCGGAGGCGGTTGGTGGCATTATTGATTGTGTGAAGGTGAGCAGTTTTGAGAGAAAGAGGCACAAGGAAGGAAGGTGAGGAGGAGGGGGAGGTGAAGGGAAGAGGAGGCGGGCTGCTAAATGAAGGCGGTCAGGGTGCCAACAGGGTCTTTGAGGGCAGGAGATGGTGGGGGGAATTTTATGGTGTAACGGGGTGGGGGCACAGGGAAGGAAAAATTCAAGTGGGTCTTACGTACCGCACCGCCTAAAATGTGACGCCTATTTACCTTCCAAGGATTGGTTTCTATTCTCTTTCATCTCTCCATCGCGCTCGCCCATCACGCTTCTATTGATCCTCTGCTGTGCTTTACCCTTCCCAGTCGACTCTGACAGATCGTTTTCCTCCGCTATGGACCCGGCTAAGAAGAGCGGAACTCAGGTCTGGAGAACCCTCACGAATCGTGATACTTGATGATGATTTCCCCGGAAGGGAAGAGTTCCTGAATCCGATCATCACAGGACCTCTAGGTCAGAGCGGGTTGCTTCTCACATGGTAAGAATACCGGAATTATGTCGCTGACCGAAATTTTGAAAAGATTCATTATCGCATTCCGATCAAGCTATAATGCCAAGAGTCTTACATATGGGGCACCTTGGGTTGTCGGGGGGTCGGGTCAGGCCACAGATTTGGCTGGATTTCTTGCTAGTACCGGTATACGAAAAGCTACCGACCAGACAACCACCATGCTGGTACTCAAGTACGGGCCAGATGTGGGGTGTTACCGGCAACTTGGGGGAAAGAGCTGGCGAGAAATTTCATCCATTGATCCTCATCTGAAACAAACCCCAATGATTGGCGGGTCCCTAGCTCATGCAGGAGCATGCACTGTCAACAAGCGAGTCTTCCAGGAACGAGATTCTCAAAAGTACAGCAATGTGCACGAGTACTGTACTCGTACGGTAGACTACTGCAAGGATAATAGGAAGGTTCCGAGTTCTCAGTGCGCTGCAGGAATGAGCAGTGTGCAGTACAGTATAGTACCGCTTTGAGCGTTAATGTTGATTTACTCGAGTACCATTGTGTGAGCTATTGTCGCGACGTAATCATCGCGCTGTGCCTTTATTCCTGTCGTACTGTACTCGTACTGGTACTCCTTAATGTAGGTAGAAGCGAGTGAATTGATTTCGGGACATCAGGCTTTTCAGCCGACCTTAGCCGAGGGTGCTTCACGGCAAATATCGTCTCCTTAGTCAGAGAGCGTTGTACGAGTGGTATGCGCTCCCTCGAGGGATTTTGTCCACTCGTGCGGAAACTCGATGATAATCTCTATGCCTTCAGCCCGAAGCAACTCCTACTTTCCTTCAGAGCCACGCTCTGCGAGGGTCTTGGTTCGGTTACCGTCAAACGGAATCCCATTTATTCATCTTTCATAGTTAACTTGAGTCAACACCAAATGTCGATCGTCAATTGCACAATCTACCCTGGGAAGCTTGCGCCCATTTCCGCCGGGTCCAGCTGCTCTACCGTAGAGTACTGTGCAAGTGACGAATATTTAAAAATTCTTTACGGTATTTAGTAAAGAAATTTAGAGAACTGGTGAGATCTGTCTCTGGTGGGAGGAATTCAGAAGCCCTAGTCCGTGGTTTTCTTGGAAACCAAAGTCTCACAAGAACTTCAATATCCGAAAGCACTGTACCGTACGCAGTTCCAATGTCCTGAAGGGTAGTGAATGATATTTCATGATATCGGGATGCATTCGATGTCTGACTTTTGCAGCATCGTATAATACTTGTAGTACCGTACAGCGCTTCGGGGTCACTTGCGCTATATATTAGCAAAGTGCGATACCCGGAAGGACATGCGAGCCTCGAATGAGAGGGCATTAATTACCCGTGCGCTACCCCACGATCTGCTGGGCCTTCGTCTCCCGGATCAATACACTCAAGTCACTAGCATACCCAGCAGTTGAATCCTGTCATGATATCATGGTATTGTATTTCTGTGCATATAACGCTGTTGCAAGAGCTGCGGGCTTGCGATGGCTGTAGACTACCGTAGAGGGGTCGGTCGGGTAAAGGGTGGGTGGAGCACAAATATCCAATCCAGTAGGGGGTAATAGTGATTTACCATACTCCTCGCACACACACTCACACTCTCTCAAGGCGGCTTCCAGCAGACTTGGCGCCGGTCCAAGTCAATGGGCCACAAGCGTTTATCACCGTCATACCGGCCAAAGGCACGACTCTAGGTAGGCGAGTGCGTTGGGAATATGGGTTAAGTTATCATTCGATGCTCTGTCTGTTGACGACGCATTAATTAGGGATCTCCGGCACTTCAAATCTGGAAGTAAGGTATCATACAGTATGCACTGTGCTATACAAGTACTGTACCGTACCGTACGGCCATAGCTTTTCCTACATGAGAGCAGCATGATATAATACCATGCGATTCTCCCCGAGCGGTAGCGGCCAGTCCTACAATTTTGATTCCCGCTGGCGAGGGGGGCTCACGACCCAAGGTGGGCTCGAGCGGTTGGGCACTGCAGGCCTGGTGGTCCGATATTTACCATAATTTACTCGTTTTCACAATACATGGGGATTCTTCCCGTAAGTGTCCAGAAGATCCCGCCATGCCCCGCCCTGTGACTGACCTTTGAATACCTTGGCCGTACGCAGACATGATTTCAATCATACTAGGTTTCTTCAAACACTAGCCTTGGGAAGGACATTACATTACGCCTTGATTATTCTATTACAACGGTCGTCATACCAACGCCGGTTAACGAAAGTATTGAGGAGGTGGGGTAATAGTAATTGGCCGGGATGGAGGGTGGCTCATGGGATGTGGATGGTGGCCCTGAATCACCAAATATCAAGTGGATTGCAAGTGTTTTGGAGAAGTTCCTTCCCGGTTTCAACCACCCCACCCTGGATGCGTACTGTACTGTACATCTAGAGGAAATTTTCAATGGGAGGAGAGGTTGCTTGGAGCTATACAGGTATAAATACCGCCTGCCTTCTGAACAGGGGAACGGAACGGGGTGATTGCTTTGGGGCGCAGGTTTTGGTTACAACGTAGGTAGTTCTTCCTCCAGGCAAGGGAAATTGCCAATCATCAATTCTTGTTTCTTTTCCGGGAAGATCTTACAATGCCAAGGTGTGTTGTAGGCCAAGGTGACAAGACTCTAAGGGATTCCTCTCTCAATACGTCGCGGATCTGCAGCCAATCGTGACAGCAGAGCATTGGCCTAGCCTGGAGAGGTACCTGTACATATGTCCTGAGAGTAGAAACAGGCGTCCATACAAAGGCCCCGGGCCAGCCGGCTCTTTCCTCCCCACCGAATCATGGTCGCATGACGCCTTATTAAGCTATCGTACCATAACGTAGGGGATGGGGGTGACGTTCTAGAATCTCTCAGACACCTTCAGTTGTGCAGACAGGGATTGGAAGAATATCTCCAGCGAAGGCTAAAATTGAAACTTTTAATCACCTTAGATTATAAGGTTTCATTCAGTCCCTTTTGAAGCGGACCTTCCAGATGGTGAAAGCGGACATTCTCAATCAGAGGCGTTGGGTATATCAGGAAATGGTCAGGCTATCTGAAGACAGACACCGGGATAACTACAGTGGGTGCCTAAGTATGATACAAGCGCCTCAGCTGTTAAGTTAGGAGGGGTGTGCTGCAAGAAGAGGTTCATAATAGGGGACCCTTGGCCCCATAAATTGGATACACCCTGTTATGATGAATCTCAGAGAGGAGGGCTAGGGGAGGCGCTCTATGGAGGGTTGTGCCTGGTAGGATTCGGAGGTGGGTGGCCGGGTTGCTTGTTCGCGCCTTTAAGGGGGACGAAGGAGTCGTCCACGTCGGCAGGGGCCATGGGGTAGGCAGGTGAGATTTTGGGGGTTTACCTGGGCTGTCAAATGAGAAAAGTTTTTGTCAATGGCTAAGCTCGGAGGTCTTCAGTATTGTCTGTGCGCTCCTTGGGCGGAAAGAAGCTGTCCATGCTAATCTCCCTAACGAATCCATGCACTATGCCAGAATTAAGCTGGATTAGCAGTTGAAATCAGATGGGGGTTACAAAGTGCTATGGCACGGTGCTAAGGTTGTGGCTCTCTGCCACAACCTATGGCTGCTTGCGCAACCTTGGGCACCCCCCCTGTCCCAACCTTGGCACAGTTATGGTGCAAAAAAATCTAGGATAACAGTCCGCTTTTTCTGAGCTCTTATAATACCTATGATTTCCAGAATGCAACTGACTTGAACCCAAATCCACCCTACAGCATTCCGAATAGTGGAAAAGAGATTATGACTCACTATCTCAACAACACTAATTGCCTCAACACTACCAACTCTATTAACATTTCTGGTAGTCTAAATATATCGAATCACTATACTGTCCCTGATCAGCATCTTGGAAGCCTAAGGTGGCTATCTCTCCTTGAGCCTTGTGTGCACTACCAAGAAATTCAAACCCTCAGAGCCAATGATGTAGGGAACTGGCTCTTGGAAATTGGCGCATTTCAGAATTGGAGTAGGGCTAGCGGAGTGGTCAACCCTCGAGGTGCTGCATTATTCTGCTACCATGATCCAAAAGTGGGCAAGACCTGCCTTAGATATGGGAGACAATCCTGAAAACAACTAAAAGATGGTAATGCTGACGAGCCCTAATAGCTTACTAGTAATTGATAGCTTAGGTGATGAGATCAAAGGGCAACCTCATGCTGTTGCTTACTTCTATTTTGACTTCGGGGCCTGAAATGAGCAAATCCTGGCCAATATGCTCAGTTTACTACTCGAGCAGATCATTGGCGGATTGGACAGAATCCCTGAAGACATAGTCCAGGCCTTTATTGGTGGTCAAGGGCTACAGGTTCCAGAAATTGTGAAAATGTTACAAACCGCGACATGCTCACAACGCACATTTATTTGAGTCAATGCGCTTGATGAATGCGCAGAAAAGCATCGATCTCAGGTTCTTGACCCTCTCAGAGAAATCCTGGAGAAGTCCGGAGATGCACGGATATTCATAACTGGCAGGAGAACTACAGGATCTAGTTCGGAACATATGGGTAGTACATGGTATGATCGAAGACCAAGACAGAGCGTTGCTACAATGCTATAGTGAACCACAGTTAAGACTGGAAAGCTGTTTTGGTACTGAGCTGATACAGGGAATCAGACAGCCAACAGCAAGCATTACTCAGCCAGTACAGTATCCTAGTTATCCCACGAGTGCCCAGGATGAGCTCAGGAATATTCTAGCTGGGTGCCGGCAGCTGGGAAGCCCAGCATCATGGTAGACCCTAATGCCACTCTCACATAAGCTGCTAAGCAGCGATTCCCAGACAGTACGTTTGAGGAGTGGCGACAGCTGAGTGGCTCAACATCAGGGGCAACCCCAATACTACTCAGGACCCCAACGCCTATCTCACGGAAGCGGCAATGCCCCATGGCCCTGGTTATACCCCGGGGAGATGCTGGAATAGAGAGCCGATAGCCAACTGCAAGTATTACCCAGCCAGTACTATATCCTAGCTATCCCGTGAGCACCTAGGATGAGCTCAGGAACCTTATAGCTCGGTGCTGGTGGCCAGTATCAGATGGGGACTTTGTAATGGAGACCTGAAGCGGAGGCTATAGGGTGGAGGATATGGAGTGTGTATCGTTGTGGATATGTATCTATGCGGCTAGTCCTATGGCATGGGATGGCGGTTGGGTTGGGACCTGTAGCGGGGAATATGGGGTTGTTTACGAGGCAGAGGCCAGCGGTGGAGACTGGGCAACGTTGGAGATAGGACATTGGAATTGGGTAGAGGATCCCGTAGTGATTAGTACAATGAATTTGGAGTATTCTCTGCAATAGGCTGGCATGCATAGGCCACTCGTATATACCAAATATTACATGACAACCCTTATATTAATGTCGGACCTGGATCCATAATACCCTACGTCCTATCAAAGTACAGGAACATAATTCCATCCCTTACCCTCCTCCAATATCACTCGCTCCTTTCCTCAATCCTACCACATATACCCCTGTCCGCTTTGGACATTCCACAAAATGGCCATCAATGTATACCCCCTGTAGTAGCTATCTGTCTGCTATCCCACTGCACGTACTACTGGGTGCATCTAGGCGGTTCCTATGTTTATTAATAACTCTTGTTCCACATAAAGGTGTCTAATTAGCCCTAATAGGTCTCCAACCCTCCACCTTGCTAGACGGGTATTAGTACATCATCACTGAAGAGAGCTAGGTGAGGGCGTGACTGGATAGGGTGCAAGGGATGGGGGAGGGTCTGGCAATCTAGCTCTTAAAGCTTGGTTTCCCAGATAAAGGCACCAGGCACTTGCCCGAAGGGTTTCTTCGAATGTAGGGCCTAATGTACAGATTGCCATTATGAGTGGGGAGAGGATATAGGATGAAGGTCCAGCGGAACAGGGGATGGTGCGTTCGTTCACTGAACTATATACTCGCATACATAGTGTAAGGTCCGTATGTAGGTTATTGGTATTTCCTCCTGAGCAAGCTCTATAGATCCATTATCTCAGGAGGGGGGAAAGGGGCAGCTCTTCTTTTAGATGTCTCGTAGTACATGGCCCAATTATACGAATAATAGGTGTCTCCTGAATTACCTTGCCCCACGAGCCAAGGACTGTAGAGCATTGGACAGATGCAACCTATGGGTGATGCGGCCCGGCCAGATCCCTGTGTATGCTGCACTGGGGATTACCTCAAGTAAGAATACAACCACACCGCCTAGATGCATCTCACTCAAGTCGGAACACTTGAGCATAGGGCGGAGCCTGGCACTCCTACTAGTGAGAGGATGTGCTTTCCGCTAAAGGCGCTTATCCATGTGTGTATTTATAAATACCTGTTGCACCTCCTGCTGCCGATAGCACGGCAGAGCATGTTTCTATCGGCCAGGCCCACCTGATCCACATTTTATAGTTTATCCGGAGGCCCCTCTTCATTTGCAAAGCGAAACATATAGCCCATGTGTAGAATACCAGATGACATTGTTGAGAGGGTGAT